AGAGAGCATGCGGAAGGTCATCTATGTTCAACGATTATGGAACAGACATGCTTCAGTTGAGACAAGAGGGTGGAATCTTGAATAGTAGCATCATGGCTGTAGTATATTATGGCATTTTGAAACACATCTTTTTTTAATTGGGGGGGGGGGGGTTGTGCTGATTTTACAATGTGATTGTGATGTCATAAATATTGTGTTAAAATATATATGTTGTATGTGCGTTGTTTGATATGTACCTGATAAAGAGAAGCAAACCATGGCACAAGCTCTACTCGATGTTCAAGGTCCCCAAATATTTGCACCTGGGAAACCTGGTCAGCCCAACTTTGACCCAGGTGCCATCAAAGATCCTGAAGAAGGATCAAGATTAGAATCTCCGACATTTGTGATTATTTGTAATCACGGTATTGCGTTTATTTTGAGACTTCAAGTTATCCATCTCTGATCTTTTAGAGAGATTAACCCAGAGATTACCAAGACTTTTGGGGATCATTCTTTATAGTGGTATATTTGATACCTTCTAGAGAATCAGACGCATTCTGTAGACCATTGATTTGTTGCACTAGATTATTTTAAAGAGAGTAAATAAAAAAAAAATAGACACACTACCAAATCTTTATTTATCTGTTACTTTGAGGATCGGAAGGGATTGAGGCCATTTTGTTATGTCCTGTGATCAACACAGTGGCGTATACCAAACCCAAAAATATGATGTCACTGTGTGTCCTGACACTCTATTATCTCGAAAGTGGCCATCCTCTGCATGCCATCCAGAAGAACCGAGGCCTTAACTTTCTCAGGAAGCTAAAATAAGGAGTTCTTAAAATACTCCTTGAATAGAATTAGAGATTTGAAACAATTTGTCAGTTCTACTTTTAATGAATATTTTAATAAAATAGGAACCCAGGAAGAAAATGTTAGACCAAACTTCGCCCTGATAGCTCAGAAAAGGTAAAATTATCCATTTTTCTCTTTACAGCCTTTACAGCCCTTGTTGCCCCTTTACTTAGAACTTTAACAAAAATTATTATTTCAGGAAACCAGATCATCAAACTTCCTTGTACAGATGCAATGGGGAAATAGCCAAATGAGGTTTATAAGTGTCAGTCAAGACACCCATCTCATGGTTACAAAGGAACACATTATATGTGGTTCATTATCCAATTCTTCATTTGCCGCGTTAGCTGATGGCAGGGCATCTAGGAGAGTTGAAAGCACCTATGGTAAAGTTATGGAGGGGTAAGAAAGCTTTATGCAATGCAAAACATTTGATAAACAAGAATACATTGAACATGGATAAATCTTATTTATCAAACTAACTTTTTAGAAAAACTTTTGCTTGGCCTTTCATCAATTGGCTCAATATCATTCATATATATTAAGCCCTACAAGAATTTCTGCTCAGAATTAAATTATGAAACATTTAAGACAAGAGAATAATATATTGTGCCTATACACCAATTACTTGAACTGATTGTATATTTGTATTGTAAAATGTAACTTAATGTAGAATGTGTCTCATAAGCCTAGGTAGGGCTTGCTATTTTAGATAGGTGACACTTAAATAAGTGAATGAATAAATAAATACTTTTTCGCCAAAACTCAAAATGTAGTTGAGCAATCTTTTTGGTACATGTTTGGTTAGATCAAGAATCTTTTGCTTACAGATCTAGTTGCAGAATTGTCGACATTAACAAAATCAACAGGAAATGTAAATGTCCAAAAATATGGAGGAGACATTTTTGCGGTACCAGTACTTCTTAGCTATGAACACAAACGAATGGTAGATTCCCATAGAGCACACATTGAGAAAGATTTAGCTTATATGAAATCATGAAATTAATGAAAAGTGAGAGATGTTGTCAAAAAGCTGACTGGTTATATCTTCCTGTTTTTAAAATGTTTTAGTTTTTAGCAATAAAATGTAATTAAAACACTGTATCAGTATGACTAAATAAATAAATCTCCGAAAAATCAAAATTTAGAGTAGTTTGTCTTTTGAGTATATCAACTAAGTATACCACTTTGTTCCTTGGAAAGAGAATGCTAGATAGAGATTTTGAAAAGTTATTTGGCCTAGCAGTAAATAAACAAAAGACTGAGTCTATGTTTATGGGGAAAAATCCAGAAAACAGAAATTACAAGTTAGCTTAGCTGATATACAATGGACAAAAGAGCCAATAAAAGCTATTGGTGTTTATTTTTGTACTGATATTGTAAAAGCAAATTTAAAGTCATTGGAAAGTAGAGTTAATCATTTTAAAAACCAACTCACAATATGGAAAAACTCTCCCCCTCCATCCAATATTAATTAAGTTTGATTATTTTTTGTATAATGCATGGAAACTAACTTTAATAAGTGAGCAATGTCATTAGTATTGTGATAATAACATCCCTTATACCTATTTATTACAGGTTGTGTAGACCATTGTTGCCTGATTTATAGCAAAAACATTGACTTTTGCATGTTGGTTATGATGCCCCTTTTTAATAGATCTCATATCTTAAAAGGGTATCAGTTCAAAAAATACTAGATGACCAAACATATTTTGCCATGCACTGCGCCTATTCATTTGGCAATTCAGTTGTACTACTCCCCCTCCCTCCATTTTGTATGATCACTGGGCGTGACTGTAAATTACTAGAAAAGAAACCTCCAATATGACACAGGCCTCCAGTAATATGGACGTTCATGAAGCAATACAAAAGAATACGCAGAAGAATAAGAATTTATCAGCCCTCGAAGCATGGCAAACTATTAGAGAAATACTCAAACAGTATTATTTACATATCCATCCAAGTATCCATTTCAATTGGAGTATGGCACCACTTTATAATGGACGAAAGGTTTTTGTCCAGAGATAGCAACATTGAATAATGTTTTTGTGGGAACTTCAATGCACACACAAGAAATGTATTAAGATATTCTTGATTACGAGCGTAAGTGACATGCAAGATACCTAACTGCATATATCCGTGCTAGCATGGACATGAAATTAGATATGTATGGAACTAGACTAATTGAACTCAAATGTGGGTTGAAATAAAGAATATAAGAAAAAAGATTTAAAGCTACTCTGGTTCTCTTCATATATCAGACCCTACATAAAAAGATCCCATAGACAAATTACAAAGGTCAGACTCTTACTAGCCGACATTAGCGATGTCTGCATGAATTTGTAACAATGTTCTAGAGATGATTTTATTGATGAATGGTTTAGTCTAAACAAGGTCTGGCAAAAGACAGTTAAACAATAACAAACCTCATAGATTTGGACTCAAACTGTTTGTATTAGCCGAAAGCAAAAGTGGTTACACCTTAAAATTCAAAGTGCACACAGGAAAGAGAAATGATGGAGAGCCTAATAATGATATGGGCCTGGCATGTAATGCCGTTATGATTCTTATGACCGGACTGCTAGACCAAGAGTTTAATGTCTATTATGACAACTGGAAAAATGTTATAAATGTCCACAATCTGGGATACTATCTTTTTTACGTTGTCCGTAGATGGGGACCTATTTGGTCTTGGTCCACATTTGCATTTGAGAACACAAATGCTGTTATTAAAATGCACTAATGGCACAGGATATATATGCCATCAAATAATGAAATACAAGGAAGCGCAATGGATTTTGAAGCAAAACTGTGTCAAGACTCATAAGACTGATGTACTGGGTGAACTTCAAGGCACTTCAAGATCCAAAGGCCAATGACAGTGCATTTAAAGGATGGTACAAAACACAAGCCTTTGGTAATTATGCTATTAAAACTCTGAAACTGCAATCCTATTGCCTGGCGAATGAAACGTCAACAAGAAGAAATTATAATGTGTTCGGGGGAGGAGGGTTGAGTTCAAGTAACAATGAACACATTAGTCATTGAGCTACACCTTCAATGAATGATCTGATCACTGGCAAATAAAATAATAACTTGAATTCACACATGGCTATATTCATCCTCAGTCAATATCAGAATGACAATTTTTGAAATGAAAGCTCTGGTGAATGTAAAGACAAAAGGCACCCAAATTATCTCTTGAATTTGACCTTCAGTAGTTGATCAGTGGGTTGCCACCAAGCAAAGTAGGTCAGTTGAAGAGTATTGTTGAATACATGGATAATCAAATAGATGGACCAGAGACCCTTTGGAAAGTTCATATGAAAGAAAGAAATTACTTAATCTGGTTCCATGTTGCTAAAGGTTGATTAATGTTACTTATTATTGTGATTACTGGGAAGGTAACAGCTGAAGAATACATTAGAGAAAATAATAAAAATGTCTTGTATTATGTCACTGGTTTTATACACCATGGAAAAAATATGCTAAGAAGAATGAAATGTTTCAAATCATCAACTGCCATTCAGTAGATGCTCATTCAAATGATGATGCTCTCGTTGGGAATTTTATTTGCCAGTGATCAAGTGGACACAGTGTGTGGACTGTGGGGTCTAAAATATCCAAGTCTGGAGTTTTATTTCAGGCCTACATTTAGGCCTTTGTTACAGATAATTAGTTTTGAAATGTTCAAAGTCCAAACAGTAAATCAAATAAAAAATGCATACATGTGTGACATATAAAATATTTTGGAGATCAATCCAATTCTACCTATTACTAGATTTAAATCTATATTTGAATCTTTAAACACTTAAATTATTATTTTACAGGAAAATCACATGGACGGAAAATGTCCCAAATAAGTTTATTTTTCTGTTGTACTTTGTGCTGCCTCGGTGGTATCTTTGAGAACAATTTGCAACAAATAAGGGAGGAGTTCCAGGGCCTCACATCTTTGGAAAAACACCAGTATGTGCTGGATGAGCTAAAAAAGAACATCAAAGTACTATGCTCTTCCATAAATGATATTCACATATAGCTCTATATAAATTGTGGGATGGATATCGAGCCAAAACACGTAAGTAAACCGCAATCTCATTGGCTTAAATTTACATATCTGTCTAACTCCCGGTGGCAACAACTAATCAGAATTCGCCTCTCTTGTACCTTTGTCAGTGTTTTTTCGAAATTTTACTTTTGATATATTTGAAATATTCGTATTTCTCTCAATTTTTTCGGAAACCACTCATATATATGATATGGAAAAGACCAAAAAGCGGAAGTATCTACCCAAATGGGAATTTGGAAGACCATGGTTAGCTCACAGAGGCGATAAAATGTTTTGCATTACTTGCGAGAAAGTGTCCAAATTTGCCCCAAATAGTGTGAACATCAAAAATAATGCGTTCATTGTGGGTTCAACCACGATGAAACTTGAATCTATTATCCAACATGAGACCTCAAAGTCTCACAAGACGGCGACAATTATACTGAAACACAGGCAGAATCCCACAAGTGCACCAGCTACCTACCTACCTACCTACTACCATGGTGTTATTTAGTATTTGCAATAAAACTGTTTACATATACTGTTTAAATATGTAATTCACAGAGTTCAGTTGGCTGATTTTTTGGACTTGTAACTTTAAAATTTACAAGTCCTTATTTGGCTTGTATTTTTTTGGATGGACTTGAAAAATGTTCACTTACAAGTCCAAAGGACTTGTAACAATTATTCTGAATCTTAGGGTCTGATGGAGGAGCAAGTAAACTTTCTGAAAAGTTTGAGCTTTACTGCGACGATTGTGACACCGGAAAGTATCCAAGCTATCAAAGAAGTTGCATTTCAGTTTATATATGGCAGCCCCGAGTCAATTCTCGATGATGGAGACATGAGAAAGGTTTTGACCTCAGACCTGTATAGGGCCAGGTGCAATTATATTGTAGTGGATGAAGCTCATACGGTTTTGTCATGGTATGTATGCATATAGGCTTACATATGATCTCTTTACCTTGTAAATAATGTTATCATCCGTTATATTTTTCAATTGGCTAGCCTAATAACTAGAGTCCTTGAGATACATGTTCTCTATAAAGCAGATTTAAATCTACTAATTACAAAAATATACATAATGGTATTACAAAAAGTAAAATGTACACTGTATGCTAATGCCACATTATTTGGCATGATATGATCTGGTGCTTTTTTAATTCAGTTGAAAATTTTGTACTTTCAGGGGTGAAGCAGCCAGCAACAAGGCTGAGGCATTTAGGGATAGTTTCAACAGAATCGGTGAAGTGCGTTCACTTTTGCCAAATACTCCGGCTTTGGCCCTACAGGGTTCGTACACCTTTTTCAAAATGAATTTCCCTGACATTTCCCTGACATTTCCAGGCATAAAATAAAATTTCCAGGTCCAGTTTTCCTTGCACGGCCTCTAAAAAGTCTCTAACAACTGTATTATTTAAAAGACTTATTGTGAAACATTTTGGGTTTATCCTTTAGTACCATTTCTCATGACTCCACTTTACTTCTACAGGCCGTTATTCACCAATTTATTCCTGATACATTATGTTCTTAATTTTACATATTTACGAAGGTAAACATATATGTACAGGGACATAGTCAGCAAGTGTCAAGGGGGTGCATTTTTAGGGGTTTGCATCACTGCGAGTGAAGGAAACCCAAAGGGGGGTACGGGGGTTCACCCCCGGAAATTTTTCAAAATTGACAATTGTATATTGTGCATTCTAAGCATTTCAAACTATAATTTGTTGATGTTTTGTAATGAATCCAAATAAAAACTGAAACTTGTTGATCTAAAGAAAAATAGCAACTCCCTTGAATGCCAATTCCTACCTAATGAAACATATATATCGAATACTATCATTGTGAACATGATATGAAAAATGGCAACTATCTTCTTGAGCAGAGACAGCAACAAAAGCATTGGTATATAAAACTTTAACCAAATCTGTCAACTGATATTTGAGTTAGATAAATAGACTGAATACTACCGGACTGTCGAACAGACAGACAGACAGACAGAATATGACAGAATATTAATATGATACAATTTTAAACTGAAAAGAGTTTTTCACCTCCCGCCCTCCTCAGATTAACCCCTCAACAAACCATGAAACATATACCAGTAATTAACTTTGAATGGCCTTAGACTAACTTACAGTATATGGAAAAGCATAATTACCCAAATGCGAGTAGGTAGTTACCAGTTTCACCACCAGGTGGCTGATTCGGGTCAATTAACATGGCAGGTATATAAGAAAGTTCCCTTAAACTTGAATATTATCAATTTAAGTGGCTCAATTTTCATATAACCCTTATGTGTCTGATACTTATACTAATGAAAATATGTCCAGTAAAGCAAAATACTATCTGGTTACTAAAAGAAAAGATATTTCATTTTTTGTGATTTTATAGCATGGGGTCTATGGGGAATCTCCCCGAGCTAGAAGTCACATTTTCAAAGAAAATTAATTTTTCAAAGTTGATAAACACTTTTTAAAACCACATTTCTAGATGTAATTTTACATGTAGATTTCAAATATGATATTACTTTGACTGAATTTTGAATTTTTAATGACGTAAATCAAGATTATTTCTACTCGCATCTGGGTTATTGTATTGAACCATCTATACATATTCTTTATTGTTCAGTTTCAGTGTAATGTTCACACTGTTCTAAATCAGATTTAATGTCTGACTAATGTAATCATGTTATGATACTATATGTCAATAAAAGTTATAATAACTAGACTTTGGAAATTGAACAAGTTCAATTTCAGACTCCAGATGACAGATTCGTTTACGCTGAGTCATCTAGAATAAGCCGAGTCATCCAGAATAAGCCGAGTCATCCAGAATAAGCCAAGTCATCCAGAATAAGCTGAGTCATCCAGAATAAGCCGAGTCATCCAGAATAAGCCGATGGATGGATGAATGGATGGATTGATAGGATAGGAAGGATAGGACAGAATAGGAAGGAAGGATAGGATAGAATAGGAAGAAAGGATAGGAAAGGATAGGAAGGATGGGAAAGAAGGATAGGATTGGATAGGATACGTGGGATGGATATAGCCGAGTCATCCAGAAAAAGCCAAGTCATCCAATCATATCCCTCTTTCCTATCCTTCTTATCCTATCCTATCCTTCCTATCCTTCCTTCCAGAATAGGAAGGAAGGATAGGATAGAATAGGAAGAAAGGATGGGATAGTATAGGATAGGAAGGATAGGATAGGAAGGATAGTAAAGAAGGATAGGATTGGATAGGCTAGGTGGGATGGATATAGCCGAGTCATCCAGAATAAGCCGAGTCATCCAGAATAAGCCAAGTCATCCAGAATAAGCTGAGTCATCCAGAATAAGCCGAGTCATCCAGAATAAGCGGACGGATGGATGGATGAATGGATGGATTGATAGGAAGGATAGGACAGAATAGGAAGGAAGGATAGGATAGAATAGGAAGGAAGGATAGGATAGGAAGAAAGGATAGGATAGGATACGATAGAAACGGAAGAAAGAATAAGATAGGACAGAATAGGAAGGATAGGATAGGATAAGAAGGAAGGATAGGAAAGAAGGATAGGATAGGATAGGATAGGATAGGATGGATGGATATGATAGATGGATGGATTTTTCAATATTGTCTGCACTACTCTTGACTTTCTATGAGGCTACTATCATATTGATTTTTTTGGAAAATTCAAAACTTCATAACTTTTGAACCGGAAGTCGGATCGAAATTTGGTTTGCAGATTTGGATTCCTGAGAAAATTCTACCCTTAGTTCATATGTCATAAGTTGAATTTGGAGAACTTTTTGTCGTGACCTACTTTCTTGACGCCATATTTAAAAATCGGTAAGAGTAATCAAAAATCTAATGTCATATCTTTGCTTCGGCTTTTTCTAAGCTACATGATGAAAAAAAGATTTAGGAGTTACGATAAACAATGACGAAGATAAATGACAGAATGTTGAAAATGTAAGATTTGACCTAGTTCTTGACCTTTGACCTAGATAAAAATTTGACCCAATTTCCGAGAAACTACATCTAGGACCTAAATGGACCATAAACAGGACTTGACTCAATATCTTCTAGTTAACGAGAAAACTGGGAAAGAATAATAAACAAAGAATAATAACTAGACATGTAAATTGAACAAGTTCAATTTAAGACTCCAGATTTCAAACTTTTTTTAAGCTGAGTCATCCAAAAAACTGTAAGCTGAGTCATCCAAAAAACTGTAAGCTGAGTCATCCAGAATAAGCTGAGTCAGCTAGTATATAGATATTTAGACGATGTTATCTTCGACTCCATTGGCTTAACATGGGGATATCATCATATAGACTTTTCAAGACTTCAAACCGCTATAACTATCTTACCAGAAGTTGGATTGAAATTTAGTTTTAAGATTCGGATTCCTGAGGAAATTCTTCCCTTAATTCATTACTCATACGTTAAATTTGGAGAACTTTTTATTTTGACCTACTTTTCGGACACCATATCTCAAAAGTGGGTCAAAATACTTTCTGACGGCAAAAGGCTAACACTATTAGCATACTTTTGGCTATATGTATACCAAATTTCAAGGAATATCGTTAAAGTGTAGTGTCAGAATCGTAAAAATAAGGAAAAACTATGAATTTGACCTAGATTTTAACCTAGGAATTTTGGTGTCCAAATTTTGGACCTAAGTAGCCTTCGAAGTCCCCTTCTTTCATAGGCTTTCATTATGTTAAGCTGTACTCAGTCCATATCTAGTATTTTACACTTCAAAAAAATCTTTTTTCCCATTGACATAATATGGAGCACCAAATTTAGCGATTTTTGAGCTTTCAAAAAATCATAACTTCCGAACCGGAAGTTGGATCAAAATTTGGTTTGCAGATTCGGATTCCTGAGAAAATTCTATCCTTAATTCATAACTCATACGTTGAGTTTGGAGAATTTTTTATTTTGACCTACTTTTCGGACACCATATCTCAAAAGTGGGTCAAAATAGTTTCTGACGGCAAAAGGCTAACACTATTAGCACACTCTTGGCTACATGTATACAAAATTTCGAAGAATATAATTAATCTGTAGTGTCAGAATCGCAAAAATAAGGAAAAACTTTGAATTTGACCTAGATTTTGACCTAGGCATTTTGGTGTCCAAATTTTTATGAAAAGAAGGTCTTGAGGTCCCTTTCTTTTATGGACTTCCATTATATTTAGCTGTGCTTAGTCTATATCTCGTATTTTACTCTTCAAAAAAATATTTTTTTCCCATTGAATTAACATGGGGCACCAAATTTAGCGATTTTTGAATTTTCAAAACGCCATAACTTCTGAACCGGAAGTCGGATCGAAATTTAGTTTTCAGATTCGGAATCCTGAGAAAATTTCCTATAAGACTGATATCCTTGACTTTGGATTCGGAGAACTTTTTTTTGGACCTCGTTTTCGGACACTGATATCTCAAAATCGGTTTGAGATACCAAAAAACTAAATCGACCCTAGGTTTTCTACTTTTTTATGAGGAACACAATGAAAAAAACCCGGATCAAAAATATTGAAGGACGACTGAGATAATGGGAAAAAGTGACAAAGTACTGGATTTGACCTAGTTCTTGACCTTTGACCTAGATAAAAATTTGACCTAATTTCCCAGAAAGCCAGATACATTCCCTAGTCAACCATGTAGGTTGGATTAAGTAAGATGTTATAGTTGGAGAGAAAATCTGTTAGGAGGAAGAAAGAAAGAAAGAATAACTAGATTGGTAAA